TCTATTGTTCATCTATGGCAGTGGTTCCCAAACTTTTTTCTTTTGCGCCCCCTTTCTGAAATCAAGAAGTGGTCGCGCCCCCCCCCTCCTCCCCCATTATACAAAAACTTTTTTTTACTTACTATAGCTGTTTACGGAAACTATGATCGAGTTAACCCGATCACAAGAATCACCAATCTGGACGTACGGAAATGAATCTAGGATCAGTGGTGGGACTCCGTGCCATGTAGAATTCGACATATCGAAACATATCCGAATGCCGCACATAGGGCCGAGCCTATAGAATCCTGTCGTAGTATTCTACATGACACGGAGTCCTGGGCCAGTTCACTCTTATACGGAAAGTGATCGGGTTGTTCGGTTCAATATCATGTTTGGATCTCATCGACCCGATAAAATGCAGGGTAAATAGGATTGGCGGCCGTCAGCTGTTTTTCTTGATCGAACTTTTAAGTTGTTTGTTGATTGTTTTGCCTTTAAAATAAACGTGGCAGACATCTTCAACAGCAAGTAGCCAAAAAAATGGAAATTTGAGAACTTTAGAAAAAAATTAAAATCGGAAAATCAAAATAATGTTTGTTGAGATCAGGATTGTTGGGCGGTCTCATTTGACAAGATTCATTGCGAATCCATCCGTTCGGAAACTAAACTAGCTCCACCTAGATAGTTTATCAATCCTTGAACAGCTGATACTGATCGAACTGATCCTAGATCAGTGTTTCCGTAAGCAGCTGTTAACTGGACTTTGGAAGCGCGCCCCCCAGTTTGGGAACCACTGATCTATGGAGTAAATGAAAAATATTCCTATTGAAAGAAATTTCAGAAAAAATTGCTAACTTGGTTTAAAACGATTGTGAAAGTAGAGTTTTGGGAGTGGGACGCAATATTTAAACGAAAATATTTCGCGCCTTGGTTCTACGTCATAGCTGTTGTATTTGAGTATGAAATGAATTAAACCTTCGTCCTATATTCGACAGACTTTTACTCATTAGTGCAAAAAAGAGAGATATATCAGCGTCTGTCGGGGCGCACCCTCAACTTAACCCCACTTTTTGAGAGATTTTCATTTGTCAATCAATGCGTACTGAGCTTAGAGCAGGTAAAGGTAAAGAGGAGTAGTAACCTGGATTTGGAAAATGAAGCCGTTTTTTTCCAGGTATTTTGGCACCAAGAAAATGGCGCTTATGGCAATTCAATGCTTTACCTGTATCTTGGTGCCAAACACCTGCCAAAAATTTGGCTTCACTTTAGTTTCATGAGCAGAATGGCGCGTTCCTACTCCTTATGTCCGTAGGACAGCGTTTTCCTGCTCTAAGGTACTGAGCTTATCTGCATCTTTTTCTAGAAGCATGCAAAATATAAGGACGCACTGACCGCGTTCTCGCCCACTCTTATTAATGTCGGAATGCCTTAGACATAACAGCTGTGACGTAATTTCCGGGCGGTAAATTATAGCGTTTAGAGTAAGTATTTTTGTTTATTTTTTTTTAGGTATATTTTTGTTTTCTAAAATCAAAGAATCATCAACTACTATTTATTTTGTTATGGAGATTAATAAAAAAAATATTTCAAAAAATTGTCCACTACCCTATTAGAAGAAGCTAACTGGGACAATGTGTATGATGAGGGTCAGAGCGACTTGGCATATGAACTTTTTCACAACATTTTGAAAAATGCCATTGGAACAGCCAGTACAAAGATCTACTTAAACGCGAAAAATAAAACCTTGGATAACTCCTGGCTTGGTAAATTAAAAAAATATTATTTAAAAAGCAAAAATAACATAGGTAGCACTACTTAATAGGTTCAAAGAATACCCGTAATATTCTAAATAGGATAATAAAAGAAGCAAAAACCTCTTATTTTCAAAATAGGTTCAAGTTCTCCAGACATATTAACTCACTAAAAAACTGTTCTGCGCCAGGTCTAGATGGGTTTAAAAGTAGCTTACTGAAGCAGATACGACATTTTGTTCCAAAACCATTGGCGCATATTTTCAATTGTGCATTTTTGACAGGAATAATCCCGTGTGAATTAAAGAGATCAGTTGTTGTACCAATATATAAAGGAAATCATGTGTGTATTCGCCAGGCAACTATCGCCCAATATCGCTTATCAATAATATTGCAAAAATCTTTGAAGTATGTATAAGGAGAAGGTTTTCAATAGAGCGAAACAACATCTTATCTCTTAATCAGTTTGGATTAAGAGAGGGTAAATCTACCGAAGAAGCGTTGTTTACGGTAACAAGTTTCATCTATAATGCTATTGAAAATAATCAGAAACCTATCGCCATTTTCTTAGATCTGGCAAAAGCCTTTGACACAGTTTCACACGAAATTTTGTTGGACAAACTGGAAAACTGAATAAAAAATTATCTCACTGGAAGAAAGCAATGTGTGAAGGTGAAAGATCAGTTTAGTGCTTTCGAGACTGTACAGTGTGGAGTGCCGCAGGGCACTGGGTCCACTTCTATTTACACTTCACATAAACGAACTTCTCAACACGTCCGGTAAACTTGTCTCATACGCAGACAACACTGTCTTGCTTGTACAAGGAGATAGGAGGAAACTGCCATGGAAAGAGCAACTCTCGACTTTGCAAAGGCGACGTGAAAGTTGTCCAACGAGGCAAAGCGATCAGTGGGCAAAGCCGAGTTGGACAACACGTCGAGTGACTAAAAGACATCGTTTCGTAACTTATTGTATAAATAGCTATTATAAGTTTTATCAGCTCAGAAACTGTATGCCGATTCATATTTTAGAAATATTATACACAGCTTTGGCAGAATCAGGTACCTATTAGATATGCCTTACCTATATGGGGAAGACCATTTCCCACGTCTCTTTCGACTTTGAACGTTTCTCAAAGATATCTGCTAGGGGTTATTTTTAGAAAACATCCCAGATATTCTACCGAACTCCTATACCAAGAAAGTTTTTAAATACAGCAACTATGCTAAGTCAGTGCTTGTATTTGTATACAAGACTACTAAATTGAGACAGACAATAGAACACTCAGATCACTACACTAGGAGGAGAGCTGCTAATGATGTTAACGTCCCTTTACTGACAAGACCAACTACCCAAAGGTTTCTGACGAACCTTGGTCTGAAAATTTTTAACCTACTGATTTTAAACGAGTACAAAACAGGCATCTTTTTAGTAAAAGCATAAACAAGTTGCTCCTGGAAAACTTTGGAGTTTTTGCCTCCGTTTTGCGAAGATGATTATCATAATTATTTGTACGTTTATGTAATGCTAATATAATGGTATATATTCGGTTAACATTTGTCATTAATAAATAAAAGAGTTTGTAATAGGACTTTCAAATTATTATTTTGCGTGTTTATAATTTCAACTTATGGATTGAATATTGTGTAATGGTGTGCAGTCAATCATAACTGTATGTAAGTTTAGATGAGTGGGGTAGATTATTAATGGATACTTCTATCTTACCTTCTTATATTGATGGAACTTATCATGACAATTGGGATATGAGTCAATAGTTTCAGTGTAGTATAAGATATTTGGCCTACATTGCTTCGAAGGCTTTCAAGCTTGCTTTTGTTCCAATAAGATTGTTAATAAATTTATATCTGTTTCTTGCTGTACACACACAGATATTATATCTAGGTGTACATACATACAGTGTTTTTCTTTTGTGCCTATAAGATATAGCTGAGAAACCACTTATTAATTAAAATATATTTGATTTGATTTGATTTGACTTTCTTGAATCTTCTTCTACATCTAATAACACGTAATTTACATTACGTTTTCCTTTTTATTTAGGGATTTCAACACCCTGACACACATGTAAGAAACTTATCTGTCTCTAGTTACCTTTCCCATCCATATTATCTACTAATACATATAAGACCTAGGTAATCAATTGAGAAGAAAAAATATCTGCCTCCAGAAATTCCTCCATTCTTTAGGAAGTTGTGGCTCTTGTTAAAAAATACTGGAACATGTCTCATGCCTATGAAAATATCGCTGCTTGGACCATAAAATATTTCCATCTTTCTCTGATGAAAGCAAATATCATCGTGCTAGTCTCTTTCGACAACAAAGGGTTCAACTTTCGAATTGGAGGAGAGCACGATTAATTGGTGCTATATACCATGAAATTTACATAACATCTGCAATTGACCATATTAGTTAGGTTAGGAAAAATCGGGCGCGATTAAAATGGGTTCCTAAACACATTTCAACAAATTTGACAGCAATGTATTTCTTATGGGGGATTCAAAAGAGTGATTTTCAGACGGGAATATCTTGGGTTCTGGGCATTTCTTAGTATTGGAACCTATTGTACATCAAACTTTGAACATATTTCTCTATAATTCATGCTCTAATGGTTTTTTTAGACCTATGAATTAAAAATACAAATGATTTTAATTAAAAGTGTCTGTTTTCGGTGGACGTACGTCGGGTCTAAAACCAGCTGAGAGAAAGTGAGGTTGTGTGTTGTGTTATGATTGTTGGTGAATTGTTTATTTATTTATTTATCACTAGTTCAGTCATTTATTTTTCAATTTTTTTGGATTATTGAAGTACATTTACTAACCAAGTATGTAGGTAAACTTTTATTTTATTATAATTAGGTACTCATATATACTTATGGATCAAGCAACGACATACGTATGTATTTTATACAAATATCGGCTTCTTAAATTGGTAATATTTTTATTTTAACAATGTTTATTCAACTTTCAAACACTCTCTCAGTTAATTAACATATTAAAAAAACTATTTATACAACTCAATTCCGTAACAAACGTTCTATCACGTCTACAGACGCTTTTAAAATTGAGTCCCCATAAAACATCAATGTATTAATTTTTGAACTAGGAACCCGCGCCAATTTGCGATTCTAACCTTACTAATATGATGAATTTCAAAAAAGACTGTATTTATTTGACAATCAACAGTTTAACAGAGAAATAAAAATCAAGCATAACAAACAGATAAAAACCACAAAAATTATCGTCTTACCAGTTGCTGTTGTTGCGGTAAGCCGCCGTTACCTCCCTGATGCGGTGGACCCGGTGGTCCCAGATGAGCCCCAGGAGGGCTATGCATGTAGTATCCCGTAGGCGAAACCGGTGGGCTCGGATAAAGGGGCCAGTAGAAAATAGGTGCGTGCAAATATTGTCCTGGATGCAGTGGAGCTGTAGCGAACGGAATCGGAGCGTAACCGGCTGGTGGATACTTTAAAGCTGGCGAAGGGAGCATGGTGCCACCTGCGGGAGATTTTTTTCTGTGAGTTTCAATATGAGGCAATGGACATATTTCATATGTGTATATTGTAGGTAGATTTGTAATAGAAAAATACACTATTTAATTATGATAGTATTTGGAAAATGCATTGCCTATTAATATTAACAAATGCATGCAAGTAATAAGAGTAAAGACCAGTGAAGATTTGGTGCAAGAACAAAATTTAACTGAAATGGTTTTTGATGTTGGGCCTTGCAATAATCTAAGAAAAGTACCTCAGATGACATTTTTACTCAAACATATTAAGAATAATTGTCCTTTTCAGTTATATTTTGTCTGTTCCATGAAATAACGCGAGTGTCATAGCAATTTGTATTGGTCCAATGCTAAATAAAATGTGTTTTAAAAATTGTTATTAAATTAAAAAAGATGATGTGATGTGTGAGTTACAAACTTGAGATTATGAGGAAAAAATGGCAAAAACTATATTATAGAAGTACGTAAATTTTAGTGTTCCATCAGAAACAGAAATTTTCTTGTCATAATATATTTAAACTGATAAAATTGGACATGTACAGGTTGGTCCAATTTGGAGACTTTTAATAGGAACCGTCAATTTCTGAGCGAGATATAAAAAAAAATTAACCCCTCACTCTGAAGCTCAAAACTGAAAGAGTTGAACTCCTTATAAGTGAATGTTCCTCTGAAACAGAAAAATCCATTTTTTCCTCATAACCCCGCCTCAAAAACAAAAAAAAAAAAACGATACAAAAAGTTAAGTGTGAAAAAATAAAAACCCGTTAATACCTAAAACTAGAATGGAACTTAATAACTAAAAAGTAAGTAAATAAAAAGACTCACCACAAGAGCAGAGTATGTACTTAACACCAACCGACCACACACCAAATTTTCGACGGCTAGCCGGCAGACACCACGAACGATATATTTTTATTTTAGAGTCCTTAACCCTTGGGGCACCACCGAAATAATCAAACTATAGCCCAGGTCAAAATGGTAATTACTTAGAGAATTTGCTCGAGAACGACATTATTGTGAATGTGATTATTCAATAATAAAGCATAAGCTTTAAGAGAAGAGTTGATTTAAGAAAGCCAAACTCATGCAAATTCTCTCTCTCAAAAAAAAAGGGAAAAAATTAACTAAACAACAAACCCAAAGCATTATTGTGACAAAAACATTTATTAATAAAGTGTCAATTCGAACGAATAAAAACATAATAAAATCATTAATGGAGTAAAATAAGAGTAGCTGCCACAAGTACAAGAAACAACAGGGATGATAAATCCAGTTTTGAATTTTAGTCAAGGTAGTTTTGATAAGAGTTGGAATTTGCCTACTGTAGGCAAAGTTCTTCCAACTCCTACCAAAAACTGAACTTGCTACCTTCGCTAGACGAATGAATAAGGCTTTGGTGAGAGTGAGTTAGCTTGTCTAAATAGGGAGTGATTTGAAATAAAAACGGTGACGTGTTAGTAGTGTTGATGATGAAAAAAAGAATCTTAGCACATTTTATATAATTATGCTAAAATTCGTTTTAGTTAGTTTGCCCATTCTTCAAACATTCAAGATAACTAAAGGCTGCGTCTTTAGCACATTTAATTCCCCCAATACCCAGGATTACCTATTATATTATGATCTGTAACTATAATGACCTTACCTTTTGTAATAATAATAATAATAATAATAATAATAATAATAATAATAACTAGTTTATGGATTATTAAAAATATCCAATATTGCGGCTAAAATATAGGTTTGGCTAGTTTAAAAACTTGCTGGATAGTAGAAAAAGCTGTGATAGAAAACGCACATTAGTTGATACTTTGTGACCCAAACAAAACCCTGTCTTTCGGATTAGTTTGTATTGACCAGAATGAAACATTTTATTCTAGTAATATGCACTTATTAACAAAGAAGTATTTCTATAATGGAAAGATATTCCGATAGGACAAGGATACATATAACTCTCTGGCAGACGATGTGCTTTTTGGTCTTTGTATTCCTTAGCTGTGCCCATCCAAGGTCTCCTGATTTTTGAGGTACCTACATTAAAGCCAACAAATTTTAAGAACGCATTACTGCTGCTTTCTTGCTAAAAAAATATCAAATCATACAAACCATTGAAAAAAATAAGAGTATGAAAGTGATGAAAAGGAAATTTACAAATTGGCAAAAATGAAATCTAATCTTTAAACCTAAGGACGAAACCGGAGAATCCACAATCAACAAGACAATCAAACAAGCTACCTATAAACATCAGTCCCAAATCAAGGATCGGAATACATTCCGGATGTTTCCATAGATGAAATCTAAAGGCTTTAAAAAAGCCAAGCAACATTGAAGCTCCGGAGGAAGATGATGTAATCCAGAAGCTATAAAAATAGGAGAGTTAACACTAATTAGAAAAATTCAAAATCGTCCAATCTGTGTCTGAAGAGTCATAACATTCTGGCAAACTGGAACAACTCAATTTTGATCTTGTTACATAAAAAAATTGATAGAACAAACCTCGAGAACTATTGACCAATAAGTCTACTCAATCACTACACAAAAAATTTGACTTTTACTAGTCCTGGAACAGGCTGGCTTCCGCTCTGGGTTCGGTACCAACAATCACCTTCAGTGTCTCAAAACCCTGATAGAAAAGAATATTCAAAAGGCGTTCGACAACGTGGAACTTCTTGCAATCTTGAGATCACTACAAGATAGTAGAGTTGATCACCGATATTGCGGAATTATTAAAAACATATACGGCAACGACCACCGTAATTCTTTACTCCACCCCTAAAAAAAATATTTTCAAAATAGGAATCCAACATGGTGACACCCACAGTTCTCGAACATGCTTTTATTATTTTGGGAAGGCCTAAATCCAAAAAAAAAAAAAAAAACGTATCGAGTGCATGTGAAGTGTAAAAATGTCTGCAAATTACATTAATAATGTACCAAAGTTATTGGGTCGTGAAAATTATGGTGACTGGGCGTTTGCCGTGGAGAATTTTCTGATAATCGACAATTTGCAAAACTGCATCGCTGGCAAGGAACCTGATACGTCAAAAGTTGCGAAAGTGAGAGCAAAATTAATCTTAACGATTAATTCGTCGCTTTATGTGCATGTGAAAGAAGCCAAGACAGCAAAGGAATTATGAGATCACCTAAAATCATTATTTGATGATTCTGGTTTTGCCCGGAAGATAACCTTGCTTCGGACCTTGATTTCCATGCGTTTAAAAAACTGTCCATCAATGGCTGCATACGTATCCAGCTAATAGAAGCAGGTTAGAAATTTAAAGGTACCGGATTCCATATCACAGACGAATGGATTGGGTTATTACTGTTCGCGGGTCAAGCTGATCAGTCAGAAGTGCATCGAGATTTTCAAGATACAAGTGATGAAGAATTTGTATACCCTCATATACAAATTCTTCAACCAGATGTGTCTGAAACATTGAGAAGATCTACCCGTGAACCCAAGAAGAAAGAATTTCGGGATTATGTACGTTATATGTGTGTGGATAGTGATGTGAACCTCGAGAATAATCCAACTACAGTGAAAGAGGCACTATCAGGACCCAACGGAGACAATTGGCGTCAAGCAATGCTTGATGAGCTCCGTTCATTCAATGCATGGGATCTTGTTGATTTACCAAAAGATGGAACAGTTGTCGATTGTAAGTGGGTTCTTAAACAAAAATTTGATGGTGAATATTGAAGTATTACCATATCAGCAAGTAATTGAAAGTTTGATGTATTTGTCGGTTCTAACCAGACCAGACATTTTGTTCTCGGTAGGCCATTTAAGTCAATTCAATAATTGGCATGATGCGTCATATTTTTCTATGGTCACATTGGAAATGCGTGGATAGAATTTTGAGATATCTTCAGGGAACGAAAAGTTATGGTTTTAGGTTTTATAGAAATGATTTAAATTTGCAAGGATTTGTAGACGCTGATTGGGCCAACGATGTCATTGATAGGAAATCGTATACAGGGTTCTGTTCCAAATTTTCAGGTTCTTGTGTTCTATGGGAAAGTAAGAAACAGGACACTGTGGCTCTCTCAAGCGCTGAAACTGAGTATATAGCAACTTCAGAAGCTTCAAAAGAAGCTATTTATTTTAAGACTTTACTGTCTAATTTGTTAGGGTTTTGTCAAGTATTACTTTTATAATGACAAACCCTGTGTTTCACAAAAGGAGTAAACACATAGATATAAAGCATCACTTCGTTAGGGATTCAGTATCAAAAAAACTTATTGATATGAAATATTTGCAAACAGCGGGCATGCCTGCTGATGTCATGACTAAAAGTTTGGGTTTAATCAAACATTATAAATGTCTGGATATGTTGGGTATTTCTAGTGTTGAATAATATTTAAGCTAGTGGGAGTGTTGAAGTATTAAGCTCAAATATTATTATATTTGCATTATTAATATAGCCAACGCCATCTGTCATCATTTACATGTAAGTTGATATTGAGACATTATTATATGACTTTCTCTCTCTTTCATTGTGATTCTTGTTTCCTTTTCAGGTTTTGCTGTTCAATCAATAATTAATAAACTTTAGTCTATGCTGAAAACTTATACTGCGTGTATTTCATTTTTAATACATCAATAGGGAAATTCTTTATAATCTTCGCTTTGCAGTGTCCTAATATCAGCCAGTCTAGGTGAAGATAAAGAAATGCTCGTGGAACTCCAAAATTCCACGCAAGAAGAGGCCTTAAGATGAACTTCTCCAAAACCAAAATGATGACTAATCTGGTTTCCGGTGAGCAAATACAAAGATAACCAAATTTACGAGAAGAATAACCTTGATGTGGGGAGCATTCGGGAAAATGAGGGATGTGTTTGGGGCTGACATTCCAATATCCATGATCATTCAACCAGTGTGTCTTCCCAGTTCTGACTTATGGAGCGGAGACATTGACTCCAAAACATCAGCAGGAAAGTTGAGAGAAAAACCAGAGACGAATGGAAAGATCCATGCTTCGATTGACT